AAGAGTCGATTATTTTCCAATGATTATTTACTTTTCAAACTTACGTAGATGAAATCGAAGTACAAGAGATCGATGAATAGATCCGTCTTATACGTATTGTCGCTCAGGATGCTAATGAATTAGTAGGGAATTCGACCAAAGTTATTATGACATAATACTGGCAAAGAATTAGTACCATCGGTACCATCGGTACCATCGGTAAACCAAAGTGGGATGTGTTCAGTGATTGCATCTGATGAATATTCATGTTTACCAAAGGGTGACCAATTCTATTATTATGAAGACGCACGCTTTACCAAAGGGTGACCAATTCTACTTATCAACGGGTGTGTTTGATTTTAATGAGTTTGATAATTAATTCGTGAATTTTGCATATAAATTAACTTCACCATCTGTACCGTCGGTAAAATACTTTTACCGTCGGTATCAGATCGTCTATTTTGGACATGTATGTAGATCAAAGGATTGGTCACCTGTTCGGTGAAAAATAACGAGTCAGCACGAGCCCTCCCCCCTCAGGCAACAATGTACCTGTATATATACAGAGAGCTGGCACCTGTCCGGTGAAGAACGACGAGTAAGCCCGAGCCCTCCCCCCTCAGGCAACAATGTACCTGTATATATACAGAGAGCTGGCACCTGTCCGGTGAAGAACGACGAGTAAGCCCGAGCCCTCCCCCCTCAGGCAACAATGTACCTGTATATATAAAAAGAGCTGGCACCTGTCTGGTGAAGAATGACTAGTCATTCAAAAATAAATATGGCGTGCAGAAAAATATACCTAATGCTCCAAAAATATAAAAATCTTATACTTTCAGAAAAATACAATAAAACATTGAGAGATTTTGGATGGGATTACTGATTACCAGCAGACTACAGGGATGATCGTGTTTATCGTGTGTGTGGGAGCGATTCTTGTGGCTTTGTCTCTTCTAACTACTTTACCAATCGATAAAGTCTTGACTGGTGGTGAGTATATACTAGTGTACACGGGACAACAAGCACGCGACTGAATGGACGAACAAACGAAGTATACACCTATTTCGAGAATCGTTGTCGCACCAAGAGCCTCAAGTGACAAGCCAAGGCTCCAGAGAACGTCGGTACTTTTAATTATAATTGATTTATCATGGTTCATGCAAGTGGCTATAGCTCTCCACTAATTATCATCTCAAGCAGCCTTGCTTGGAGCAATATGTGAAGTCAATAAATGAAAATGCACCATGAATAAACTAATTACAGCTAAAAGTACCGGCGTTCTCTGCGGTCTTGGCTTGTTGCTTGAGGCTTTTGGTGAGACAACGATTTCTGAAATAGGTGTATATGAGATACAAAGCACACGACTCAATGAAAGAACGAACAAGTGGCACGAGGAGACATATGAATATGGATACAACTCAAGCAAAAAAATCTTATTCTCAAGAGAATAACCTGAAATGGGTTGACTTTGCACCTTTGCAAGTAAAGACGTCTGGACTGAGTGGTTTTTCTATGTTCATTTATCTCATGTCAGGAGCAGGGATGTATCAACTGGCCTATTGTTAGATATAAATAAAACTGTGTTCTGCATCATGCCATACTCATACTCATAGCCCATACGAACGAGAGGACCAATTGTTTTAGTCAAATCCAACTAGTCGGTCAAATATATAGATAAGTTTTGAATAAAAGTTAAATTTAATGTTTTAGTTTTCAAAGCCGGCACTTTTTGCTACTAGTAGAGTATAACTTAGCCTAGTAGTACCTCATTCAATCAGAACACAGCAGTAGTAGAGTATAAGTTATAGACTAGTAGTAGCTCATGCAATCAGAACGCAGCATTGAATACAGACCCCTATCTGGATTTGACTAATGAAGTATGTATGACACACCAAGCGCGAGCGGTCGGCACCTCTTTCAAACTCGGCTCCACTAGACTAAGGTGTGTTATGTATGTTCGTTTTTTAGGTGCTGGGACGTATCAACTGGCCTATTTTTAGATGAAACTCAGCGAATAAACGAACAAACAAGCTTCAAGCATCTAGTGTTTTAATAAGACACGGAACCAACGAAACACGATGACACTGGAGAGTGACCAGCTAAAAAATGTTTATTAGAATTATTATGCATTATTTATATCTTGAAAATTTCATTTAGCTTTTATCAAAAAACTTTATCAACTATTAGATATAATTAATAATATCTGACATCAGTTGGACACTTCAAGTTAAACTCAAACTCAGTATTGTCTATTCCAAGCTTTGGTGGATTATAGAAATGACCAGAGTATGCGTCGGATATGTGTATAACATGCACTTCCTGATTAACACTTCACTTGATGGATGAAACAGCCGATGTCGACCTAATTTTGCGCTCTCATAAAATGTTGGAATTTGAAATATTATGTATCAAACATTCAATTATTTTTGATGTGATTATTTTATTGAATTTTGTTAATTGTTGCATTACCCTCTTGCTGGATCGAGCTGATCTGAAAGAGTGACGTAGAAATGACGTCACTACAAAACTGAAGTGTCATAAAGCCTGTGCAATTAATTAACGAGCGAAAAATAAAAAACCTGTCCACCATTGCAATATGAATATAAAACTCACTAGCTATTGTGTTACTTTGTATRACCCGTTTATTATCAAGGTTTTTTTTTTTCATTTTGTGGCCTGGAAATCCATAATTTCAAGAGGAAAAGTAACACCTCAGTTTTGCAAATTTTCTCGAACCTGATTGGCTGACATTTTTCTCAGATATATAAGCTAGATGCTATTGTTGCTATTATTGATTCTGCTGTTGTTGCCACTGTTGTTGTTGTTGCGTTGTTGCTGTTGTCGTTGCTGCTGCTGTTGCTATTGCTGCTGTTGCTGCTGTTGCTGTTGTTGCTAATGTTGTTTGTTGCTGTTGCCATTGCTGTTGCTATTGCTGCTGTTGTTGCTGCTGTTTACTTCTGTTGCTGTTGCTGTTTTTGCTGCTGTTGTTGCTGCTGTTGTTGCTGCTGTTGTTGCTGCTGTTGTTGCTGCTGTTGTTGCTGCTGTTGTTGTTGCTACTGTTGTTGTTGTCAGTACTGTTGTTGGTGGTGGTGGTGCTGTTGCTGTTGCTGTTGCTATTGCTGTTGTTAATGTTGTTTTTGTTCTTGCTTGTTGCTGTTATTGTTGTTGCCATTGTTGTTGCTTCTGTTTCTGCTCTCGCTGTTGCTACTCAGTTGTTGTTGTAACTGTACAGCATTTTCTTTAATGATGCGTTGTTTCCCAGGGATGTTGACCACGAGCTGGCTGCACCTCTATTACTTTTCTTGTTCGTCTAAAATCCTCTACGTCTTAAATAAAAAATTAAGTTATTACCAGTCTCCCTGTCAACTTCGGAATTGCAAATGGTCACGCACGAGTAAGAAGCTAGAACATTATATTTAAAGCTCAGGTCCTGGTTGTACGAAGGGTGGATATTGGTTTTTAGTGGATAAATATTTATCCAGTGGATAAGATGATGCTGTTATCCAATACATTTATCCACTGGATAAGATTTGTCTGTTGCTTGGATAGCACTATCCACCCCGCTTTGTACAACCGCGCCCTGTAATAATGTAACAATAACTTACCAGATGAAAGCCTGGACATCATTCTTCTCCTCCTCCATTCCCACAGGAAACCCAACAGGCTGAATACAGCAAATATCGTTGCAGTCGATATAATGAACCATACTTGTGTGTTGGGTCCTGATTCGCTCTCAGGCTCTGATGACTTCACAGCCAGTTTATCTTTAGCCTTCAGCAAAAGTAAAATAATTTATATTAAATATTGTTCTTGCCTTCAAAATGCGTTCAATAAACTCGTGCCGCTAGCACTAGCACTGCCACTGATCTACTACCACCAAAGCACGTACCTGCTCAATCTGGTAAATATCGATGATTTCCTCTTGCAAACAGCTGAAAAATACTTGAATGTGTTTAAAGTCACCAGTGACCGTCAAGCCGATCATGAACTGTTTGTCAATGTTTTTGGCGATCTTCAGTTTGCCGTTTGTTTCATTGACCATCCACTTCCTTGCCATTTCATTATCGTGTATCAAAAAGTATTTCAATTCATCTTTTGGAGTCATCAATAATTTCTGCATATCACTGTACGTCATGTCTAGAAAATAGTTAGCAAGGCCTTTTTATATCAATTATTCCGATCACAGGCTAACCACTCTAATAAATGAAGGAAATACCAAATGGTGTCTTTTCTTTGTCTTTTTTATGCGCGCGCGTTATCGATTTTTTGTCATCTCCCCTACCCCCCTTGGTAACAATTTTGTTTTTCTACTATACAATATACTAACAAGGTAGGCAACTTCACGGGCTTCCTGAGGAGAATTCAAACTTTGACGAGAGAAAGCCGCGAATTTATCCAGATATTTTGACTCCGAAAACAAAAAAAAGTATACAGAACGTCGTACTTACATCTAACCTTCAATAATTTAAAGGATTTTTGATAATATAAATTCTCTATAAGGAGGGTTTTTTGGGCTTTTTTAACGAAAACTTATGTGCCGTCAGTTATGCTTGCATCCGAGCGGGCCTGAACACGAGAAAAGGGATTCCAAACAAGTCCTCTCCCTCCCTCTCCAAGTGTTTTTGGTTCGTTTTTGGTTGGTTGGGAAGTATGTGGTAACGAACCAAAAACACTTGGGGGTAGGGGAGATGACAAAAAATCGTTAACGCGCGCGCATAAAAAAGACAAAGACAAGACACCATTTTTAGAGTATTTCCTTCATTTATTAGAGTGGTTAGCCTGTGTTCCGATATTATGAGAAATGACACTTTTAGCTAGGGCGTAATGTCTTCATGTGTCATTCCCTGGAGTATTGTTTCTATGTTTAACGGTTGCGCATGAGAAAACACATGAATATAGTATACACAACTCAAAACAAATTTTATTCTTGAAAGAGATGACTTGTGCTATGAAATGGAAAACTGTTACGCCCAAGCTAAAAGGATCTATTGATCGTCTTTGTCTTTGGTCTAAAGAAGATTTGTATTGAGGGTAATGGGAAATGTGAATTTTAAGTGGCCAAAATTTTCATTCCCATGGTTACGATCCGTTATCATGGTTATCAAACTTACCCGAATACTGGGCACCAAGGTTGAACTCCTGTCCAAGAAACGACTTCATACCCATGGGAACAGCAACCTTAAAAAACACAATAAAACAATTATAAATGATTCATCAGAAACTGTTGTGAAGTAATGTTTTTTGTTTGTTTTTTTTTCAATCAATTTTTCAATCGTACACTTTGAAGCTGTAAGTGTATCAACCAGAAAATTTGGAAAAACTTGAAATCTGGAATACAGGAAGGGATCTAAACTAACGAAGACTACTCACAATTGGTGCCGAGTCCAGAGTTCAAACCTGAGAGACTACACAGGTGAGAAGTGAATGTACTTCCACTACACTACCCTTAATTCTTGAATACACTTTTTTTTAGCTTGGTTGTTTGTTGTCACAATTCAGACCATGTGATGCAACTCTTGGGAGTCGATTCTTTCATGTATAAAAACTTTAACATAATAGTCATAAAAAATGTATTCTCAAGGAATTGTCACGTGTTCTGAAATGTGCAATTTGCATACGAATTCTAAATATAGTATCAAAATTCCTAATTTGCATATTTCAATATTGCGGAGCATGGTTATAGTGTTACACGTTTCAATCAGTTATACGTTTATACGTTTCTGCAAATACCATTTCAAAATAATAAGCAAACATCGAATGGATTATACCTTAGTATCCATCAAGTCAACAGTAGCTATTTCACTGGACGTAATATTAGCTGTGATTTGACCAGTAAACATGGACATTACAATAGTCCCGAGAACCATCCAAAACACTGCGAACATACGACCCCAGAAAGTGCGGGTTGTCTTATCGCCGTACCTCGAAGAGAGAGTAAAATCAAAAGTCAATCATCAGCTGTCATTGTGTTAGATAGAGTAAATTCGACTTAAATTGAAAACGTCTAACTATCAAAATAATTTATGGTAAATATATTTCCTTCTTACCCTACTGTTGTCATGGTAACGAATGACCACCATATGCCGACTAAAGCACCGTGTGGAAATTTGGCGGGAAATTCTTCTGAATTCTTTCGATGCTCCTAAAATAGAATATGTATCGTATCTGAGGAATTTTTTTTATTAAGATATTTCTAAACGAGATATTTAGTTTTCTAGAGATCGCAGAAGTTCTTAAACTTCTAAAAAATTAAAAACATGTTCAAAAAATTATTCAATCATTATTTATCAATTGTTATTAAAATTTTAGAATGCACCAAAATCTTCATCAACCTTTTTTTTAAAAAATAGCCGAATTTATGCTTATGGTGACAGTTTATGGCCGAAAGAGTCTAATGAATTGTTCAAACTTGGGTTGAAGAAACAATTGAAGCAGTGAAGTAGATCAATATTGCCATAAACGAAATTTCCACAATATTTACGGGAAATTATAGAGAAAGTGCCCATAATCCGGCATGGACCAATAAGAAGTAAGCTAAACGGAGAATCCTGCCAATAGATGCTAATAACATCCCCAGCGAAGAGAATAGAATTTTTACCGACTCTCAATTTGAAAAATTCTAAAGAAAAATGAACACAAAAAAAAGCCAAAAACGTGACTTTTTATTTTTACCTAAACAATTATTTGTTGATATTTGACGGTTCTTAAAAATATTAACCTAAAAATGTTTTTAAAATTTCTCTACCGACTTATTAATTGGAATTCCCAATAACATCAAAATATTTTCATTCTTTATCAGTTTTAACGGAGTTGTTTTCTTTTGAAATAGCTATATATATATATATACAAATATCAAAGTTTCTCAACATGGATGTATGTCTCATGCCTCGGCAACTGCGAAAGTAATTCAGAACTCCGAGTGAATTCAGGTGGTACTACATTACACTAAACTTCAAATCGTCTGGGAAATTTGTTCGTAGATGGAAACCGCTATTATACATTATATAATTGTTTTGATTTGATAATCCCTGCAATTTTGTAATTTGTAAAAATCAATCCTCCCTAATTTCTAAATTGCACTGTACTAAATGTATTGTTTTTCTTCTTCTAAAATGTGTTGTGAATGAAGTATTATTAAAAGGAAGAAATAAAAAATAAAATAAACTTCAATTGAGATTCAAAGAAAATCATTCAAGTGGAATAAACGGTTGTTAATTTATATGTTATGTGTAAACGTAAGGTTACTTACAATGGCCCATACGATAAAACCTGCCAGAATACCGAACAACAAACAAACAGACAAAATAGGCCAAGTCTGCATAACCATGTTAATTGATGCCACATTTTCACTCCAAGAACCAACTTCAACCTCAACAACTGCAGGTCCCGGGGACTGGAACAGCGCTAGAAAAGGTCTCTGGAATTGAGTCGATTCTTTACGATTAGCAAAAATAGGAAAATACAATTCTGGAGTTGTTGTTCGAAGACTGCTTCGAATTTTGATCTCCATCTCTTCTGATGAGGAAATATTCATTCTTTGATAGTTGAAGCTCATCATTGGACAGCCACATTTGTTAGAAGCACGCTGCATATAATACGGTAAATAACCGGCGGCCAGCCCCGTTTTGTTGTTGTACTCCAAGCTAAAGAACAAGAATGGCATAAGTTCTATCCAATTGATGGTGATGTTCAGAATGGAAGGACAAGACATCGAGTCGTTCCGAGCCAATGTCATGTTAAAACTGAATACAGCACTCAAAATAATAATCACTTTCTTGACCATCGAAGGCCGTATCATTCTAGCAAATATGTTTTACTAGTTTAACATACATAGTTTCATTAAGCAGCTTGTTTAGACAAGTCTTACAAAATAGATTTCCTCAAACTGATTGTCGTTAGTCCTTCGGTGACGCAAATGTTCGTGTGTTCAACGATGTCGTAATTGGCTCTCAGATTATTAGCATATCGTATTTTTCATGAATATTTAAAATTGATTCCTAGTCAAAGGTATAATTTTTGATTAGAGAACGTGCTAAAGTGCTGAATAAAGAATTATAAGAACTACTGGAACCAAGAACCAAGTAAAACTTGACAAAAAAAGAAGACTAGAAATAAAAAAATGCTTTGTTAGTTTTTTGTTAACTTTTTGATTTAGTTTTATAAATTGTTCACGTCATATTTATATTAATTTTTCGATTTGGRAAATGGTTTTAAAACAAGAACTATACATGCACACGTAAAATGGAATAAACTTCGTTTATATTCATCAAATCTTAAAATGTTATTGAACTCTGAAACAACATCTAGACTTATATAAGTCAGGGCACGAGTAACACAATTCGAACCCTGAGACCAGCTCTGGGCTGATCTAAGTTAGGGCACGGATAACTCGGATTGAACCCTCAATGATGATCTAAGTCAGGGGACGGCTAAATTCACACATCGAATAGGAATTGAACTTGTTAGGTTTGAGAAGGAAAACTATAGAAACCCGTCAGTAACTAGTGACGATCTTGATAGAAACAACACACTGCAAACTAATTGGACGTGATAACGAGAAGAGTCTCACTAAAGATCCCCTGCTGACTTGTAACATAGCAAAACACTAAGTGTGCCCATGATAAACAGAATATTTACTGATGGCTTCAAGCAGTTGGTCATGACAAAGTGATAATGTCTAGTCACTAGTTTAAATTATAGACCGTTTACCTTGGGCGTAATGTTTTCCCATTTCAGACCACGTATATTATTCCCAAGATTTTCTTTTCTTTTCTTTTTAACAGCTGCGCATGAGACGACGCATTCATGAATATCGATAGATACAATTCAAATTTACAAAGAATCTCATTTTCAAGAGAACGACAAGTGGTCTGCAGCTACAATGGGTAAACATTACGCCCAATAAAAATAAAATCATCTATTGATCTCCCAGAATGATTGACCTAATGAAGGCACTAAGACTGTTATTTTGCATGATTCAGTCATTTTACAACGGCGTTGGGAATCAAGTTGCACGGAATTCTTTTCTACTTTTGGCAGCGATAGCGTCTCCTTTGCATTTTGCAATCACTCTTGCCACAAGTTGCAGAGAAAAATGCTCTGTGTAATCGCGCCTTTACTGTAATTAGAAATAGTTCACCCATTATTTACCATGCTATGGGCGGACTGCATTAAATTGCAGAAGCAAATATATTCACAGGCTAAACGCGATTTATCTCATCTTTCAATGAAACTGAAGATGAACTTGCTGAGATCAGTCGAATTTTCTCTTTCATGAATGTCTCAAAATCAGAAGGCATTTAAAGACGTTTAGAAGTTCAAAGAGTTGTTAATGTCGGAACAAACTGAGAACACTGAACATATATAAAAGGAATAAAGAATGATAATATCTTTCGAAATCGCATCTCATAGCATTGATTCAGAGCCGGTTTACTTTTTAATATTCGAGTTTATTGGACGAAGTTCTTGACTCGACAAAAAAAATGATGGAATCGTTGTCGAAAATGCAGGTCTTGGTACTTGGGATTCCACATCTGAAATGATTGATGAAAAAACAAGAAGTTACGTAAAAACCCGTAATCTTGAATTTTAAGATTACCAGAGTAAATAGAATATATCACATAATGGCGCGAAGATGTGAAGTTTATTTTTGAGTGGTAAAACAGTTTTCATCCGACGAGAAGATAAACTTCATATCTTCAAGCCGACATCTAATTTTCTTTTTATCATATCAGTAGATACATCCACAAACTTATTACAACGCGCGTTAAAGTGAGCGGGAAAACATCGGGAAAATATGCCATATGAAAAACGCGATCCCAATCCCAATAAAACACTTCTGAGCGTTCTCAAATCAAACCCTTATGATGTCAGGATTTGCAACTATTCAAAGTGGCTCTTAGTAAAAAAAATTTCGGGTCACAAGTCCAAATTTTAAGTCGGCAAATAATTAATGCTAGCTACTTTGAGTGAATCGATCTTGTTTTCATGCCAGATGTTTTACCAGGATTAAAGTTTGCAATGACGTAATGCAGCTAATTTTGTTCAGTTGCCAAAGTAACGACGAACATAAATCCCAAGCATTTTTTTTTTGATTTAATGTTCGCGAAATTGTTGAATATATTAACCATGTCATTCTATACTGTATGTCATTCTATGCTGTATGGTAGCTAAATTGTTGATAAACCTAGAAAAAGGAGAACGCAAAATAAGCTGTCAACACGGTTTTTTTTTTTTTTTGTTTTTTTTTTTGTGGAATAGCTCTAAATTCTTTATTTCAGACTGTCGTAATGGGACGTAGCAAGACCTAGACACCTTGCCTGACTTAGATCAGCCCAGAGTTGCTTGAGATAAAATTTGAAGGTTAACGTACTTTAAAATGTGCTCGATATATTTTTATGATCTTTTGAAACCTCCTCAAAATAAGAAAAACATTGGAAATTATAATCTGATCGTCGCAGCAGAACTAAATTCACCATTTTCCATACATGGGTTCACTGGTCAAACACGAAGCATTCACTCGAGGTTTCAAGGTCCAAATTTGAATAATCCTTTGAAAGTACCTTGGCGCCTCGCTTAAACGCTTTGTGTTTGACCAGTGAACCGATGTATGGAAAATGGTTAATATTTGCCGACTTAAAAAAAACTTGGAGTATATTTGGCAAATCCGGTCAGTAAAGGCCAGACACTGAGGGTGGTCACTGCCAGGTTTTCTTTGCGTCCTCAGTGGTTCTTTTACGTCTCTCCGATGCAGGGTGAGGCGTGTGAAGAGATGGGACAGTCAATAGACCTATCCCGAATTCGCTTGACTGACCATACCACGAGACAATGGTTTGAAGTCGAGACTGAACTGGATTCTTGTATTCGTCAAGTTCAACCTCGACTTGAAACCATTGTTTCGTGACCAGTCAAGCGAATTCGGGATAGGTCTAGTACGAAGGTCTAACTGTTTGTAATTGTTATTACAAAGGCAGCACCTTCTCCTCAGTTATCTTAAGACCCTGAATGTTGGTCCGGTCGAGAATCGAACTACTACCTCACGCATGAAAGTCCGATTCTCAGTTAACTGAGCCAAGCGGGTGTCGGTTAAAATTCATTCAAAGACTTTACATACCTGATACTCTTGCTGTTTTTCCTTTCCTAAGCCATTCACACAGGAAACCCATCACTACTAAAAGTACGAGCAAACTAGCAGTGGCAATCAGGAGAACGTGTTGAGAAGCGATGCCCGACTCTTGTGGCGGGAAAGATGAGTTGTGGGCTTGCAGCTTTTGGTTGGCCTACAGAATGAATATGTGTATAGGGGCTGTTTGTTTTACAGGGGAGGGAGGGAGGAGGTCATGAAAAAGTAGGGGGCGGACACAAAAGAATTTCAGTTGAAAGGGGGAATCCATAAGAATACACAGAACTTTTATGATAAACAGAATAGGTCTATGTTCGGTAGGGAGATGGTGGTGGTTGGTGGTAGTTTTGTATGTGGATGAGAGTGGGTCATGGATCAAATTCATTCTTGAGAAGCATGGGTGGCGCGCGCTGCTAATGCGTCGCCTCTCACCAATGCGACCCGGGTTCGAGCACTGCCGGTCTCGGTGTCGTATGTGATTAGAGTTGTTTGTTGCTTCTCTCCTGTGCTTCGAGGGTTTTTCCTCCGGGTTCTCCGGTTTTTCCTACCTCCTCAAAAATCAACTTCTAAATTATAATTCGATCTACCGCCTGCCTTATCAATTGGGTCGCAAGGCCTGTTAGGCATTAAGTCGTCCACCCAGGAGTGGTAAACGTATTAGATTCTTTTATAAATTAGGTTAAACAATGAAGGGGACATATCTTAATGCAACAACGGAGAGGGAGGAATTACGATTTCTTGTATGGGTTACCAAGCAAATCCCACCACACCTCCCCTACTAGCCGTTAAAAAATGGGCCCTTAGAGTTACAAGTAAATGGTTATTGAAAATATGAATCACACATACCATTTCGATTTGATAGAAATCAGTGACTTCTCTTTGTATGCAGGTTAACATGCTTGTCAGAGGATCAAAGTCACCAGTTACTAACATCCCAATGCCAAACTGATGGTCAACACTTTTGACTATTTTGACTTCTTTTGATGATCTCAACCACTGTTTTGCCACCTGGTAATCGTGCAGCAAGTAAAATTCCATGTTTGAATTCCCTAACATTGCATCTTCTTCCATTTTGCTGTAATTCATGTCTAAAAAGAAACAATTAATTTTTCCCTTGTGTCCGGAATATTACGACAAATGAGCAATTCCAAGATTGAGGAAAAAACTGAGTGAAGTTGGAATAGCAGTGCATTGTGGGATTGTTTTTAAGATATATTTCCAAGATGGCGTCTATCTTGTCCTCAAAGAGTCTCACAATGCATTGCTCAGCCTTGGAATGGCTTATAAACGAAGCTAGAAGGTCAATATAATAAGGAAAAATACAAACATTACAATACAATAAAAATATAGATCGGATCACGTATGCACAGCAATAACGTCATTACGAGCAGGCTCGTCACTGATAAATATCAGAAAGTATTTAGGTTTATTATACCCGGAGAGCAATTGACCACGAAGTATGGTGGTTCTCTATAGGTTGCTATCAATAGACGTCACTTCCGGTAATAGCTCTTTTTTTTGATGGCTTACAGAATCCTGGAGGTTGTTTGATCTCTTGTTTTCTGGTTTGATGTCGTGAAAATAGTCAAATACAATAGTTTTAGGACTTATTTTGATATGTTTTGACTTAGCATCCGCTAGTTGCCCCCCAGTCAACCGCTTGTTTGCTCTCCAGTCAACTCCAAAAAAGTCACGTGATTGATAGTAAGCAATAGCATATAACGACGACGAAATCAATTTGTATTGAATATTAGACTAGTAAAAGCTCTTGTCAGTCAACTGCTCCTAGATAGTTTTTTTATACCAGGAAAGCACAGCTCGAATTTTCTAGATTAAGATTCCTTTTTAAAGAAAGAAAAAAACACAAGAGTCCTCATTTTCTTGAATTAATAAAAGTCGTTTATAAAAAATAATAAATAATTGAATATAAAAAAATTTCCAAGGCTTGTGGAAACGAAGAAGAAGAAAACAATAATACGGTGGGAATCGAACACACGTCTACATGCTTTAATTAGATAATCAATCCCAAAATACAGAAGAAAAAAACAGTACCTTCATGCCATACCCCTAGACATCCGCTGGGTCATCGTATGGACTTCGGACATGACGGCGATTAAGTCCCTCTGCCCTTGGGTGTACGGATTACGCAGGAAGTGTTCTAGCCGAAGCATCAGGGGAGAGACTAGCCGGCCACCAGACCGTATCTACAGCTAATCCCTTGCACTGTGCCACGCACTGGCACGTTGATTTGAAGTGGAAAATAATCTAGTCTATCTGGTGCTTTGTTTTCATGGCTATTGTTGTGCTAATTTCCTGAAATCGTGGCCCAGTGGAAAAAACTTGGGCTTCCAAGACACTGAGTCAAGCACGATTGAGCAAGATTAGTACTTGGATGGGTGACCTAAAGTTGATAGCTAACTATTTGTTAACTATACCCAAATATGCTTTTGGATTTTTTTTTTTTTTTTTTTTTTTCGTTGATATTTTTTCAAGATACTCGAATAGATAGATATATTTTATAAATGTTTTTTTTTTTTACACTATAGTGTAACCATTCCTGTCTACCCACTACGAATACTCTGGGAAAAGTCTTTAAACAAAAGATTACTTAGCTCTCATTTTCAGTTTTTTTTCTTCCGGCGGTTGCATGTAATGTTTTTTTTATATATTCGTTGGGGATGTTGTCATTATTGTCGTTTCGGCTTTTTCTGAGTCTTCATGATATTTTCATGTTCAACTGAACAAGAAACCAAAAGTGTGGATTTTTCGCAAAAAACACCTGAATTATTAAAGAACACTTCTTGATGAATCTTTGACTAAATGCTTTTTGCTAATATTTTGGTCTAGAATTTGTCCCAAATTTATATATATATATACATATTTATGTAAATGTATATTTCTTCTGTGCATTCGCGAGTTTTGCTTGAAAATCAAACAGGATCCCTGTGGTTTGTACATGGACGTACGTGCGTACAGACGGAAGTGACGTAATCAAGCAATGAAAATTAAACTCGATGGGTTATCAAAGTATAGAGTTCCGCTATTAACATACTTATTAAACCAATCATTTCTCTAAAACAAGAGGTCATCATAGACATACCAAAATATCGAGCGCCGAGGTTGAACTCCTGCTCAAAAAATGTTTTCATTCCTGTCGGAACTCCAACCTGCCAAATAAATCATATTTATCCCGATTTAACTCTCAGGATTTCCAGAGCCATTTCTTTGATAATATAAGAAAACATTAAATCTGACCTTAGTGTCCATCGAGTCAACAGTAGCTATTTCGCTGGACGTAATATTAGCTGTGATTTGACCAGTAAACATGGACATTACAATAGTCCCGAGAAYCATCCAAAACACTGCGAACATACGACCCCAGAAAGTGCGGGTTGTCTTATCGCCGTACCTGGTAAGATTAGTTTGAATAAAGAGAAATAATTCAGGATTATTGTAAAAACTGGTCGTATTTAGACAGATCATTGCATTGCAATTCAATGTGAAGCTTTTTTTAAGGGCAGAAATAGAAGCCGTCTTGAAAAAAATATGCCTCTTACAACATTTCTACAATGCATYGAAATGCAAACTTTTCCCCTCAACCTTGGAATGGCTAATAGATAACCTTTCCGATGGCAGACATAGGAAGTTTTAAAAACAGGTCAACAATTTCAAATTTAGGTACTCTGAATTTTTTCACCCATAAAACTTGTAGCTAATGATTGCTGTAAATAAAAGGGTTGATATATAACCCGCATTCTGATTGGCTGGATAAAGGATCAGAAGAAAGAGATCTAGAATCGCGCAAAATAATTCAAAATATTGTATAAAAGGCTGCTTGTGTCTCTGTACTGCGATATAAATACTGTGGAAGGTGTAGAAACTGAAATTCGAAAAGCAAGTAGAGAAACACTTGACTATGCCTCATGTTCCTAAGCTTGCCTCTCTCATAATCTAGAGCTCCCAGCTCGTTTATATCATAGTACAGAGACATACGCGCACGTGTAAATTAGATAGCAGTGCACGTGAAGGAAAAATGTTAGACTTACCCTACAGTAGTCATGGTAACGAATGACCACCATATGCCCACTAGAGCACCATGCGGAAACTTGGCTGGAAAATTTTCTGGGTTTTTCTTGCGTTCCTGGAATACAGTTAACTTAAGTTAAACAATAAAATCAATCGTAAAAAGAAAAAAAAGAGGAAAAATGAAGAGAGAAAGACAAACATGATTTAGGTTTAAGCCCTATAGAAATTGAAAGAGTCGTTTCTTTTATAATCGTTTGTTTTTGGGTCACTTACAATCGTCCATACGATAAAACCTGCCAATAGACCGAACAGCAAACAAACAGACAATTTAGGCCAAGTCTGCATAACTATGTTGATCGATGACATCTTTTCACTCCAAGAGTCAAATTCAAATCGAATGACTGCAGGTCCCGGGGACCGGAACAGCGCTAGAAAAGGTCTCTGGAATTGAGTCGATTCTTTACGATTAGCAAAAATAGGAAAATACAATTCTGGAGTTGTTGTTCGAAGACTG